ACTTTATACTGGAGTAATGGCTGATGGAAATTTAGCTTTTCATCACAGAAATAAATTATATTTTAAAGTATATTAAAATAGAAACCATTATTTTATATTGTAATAACATTTTGCAAGATTACTATTTTTTTCTGTATTTTTTATCAAATAAATGCAGCCTTGATGAGCTTAAGAGACGTCTTTAAAAAACATTACAAGTCTTACTGATCCCAAACTTTTGAGCGGTAGTGTATATATATATGTATATATATATATATATATCTGTGTGTGTGTGTATCAAGAAAATAATAAACAAAATAAACAAACAAAAAGGCTTGTCAACATTTAAAAGGGAGGACAAAATACTCTTGTTCCAGCGTCCCCTACATTATTAGATGCAAATTGTAGTGCAATCAGTATGTCAGATTTTATGAGTGTAAATTAACGCAACTTCACCTTGATTGACCCCACATCCACATGCATTCCTTTAGTCCTGTCACATATGCAATTATTTTCCTCTTAAAACAAATTATTTTCTTATAACATATTATAAAAGAAATCATATAACGTGCATTTCTCCCACAGCTTTTACGCGGTGATGAAATAATCACCTTTCTCTAGTCTACTACACAGTTTCAGTTTCTTATAAATCACGTGGGCTGCGCTACAACGTCTGGTCCAAAATTCCACCTTGCGTCATAAACGACGCCCGAACGCGCTGATTGGCTAGTGCATACGCATAAAACACAATTTCGCTCGCTGATTGGTTCACCCAGCTGTCACTCAAACACGCACACGCGCTCCTCACGCAGACGGAGTCGGACATCTACTGGAAAGAGTACTGCGAATTCAATAACAAATCGACAGTAACAGGGAACTGGCCTGTTCTTCCGTTGCTGTAGAAGACAAATCAAACAAATCAGCGGATTCTTGCTTTAACCTGGTTTGGATAACGTTTGGGGGTGAGTAACAAAATAACTTTAATTTCCGCATTCATCTTTTTTTTTTTTTACTGCGTAAAATTTTACAGGAAGTTTTGATCTCACGTTTGGTTAATGCGTGATATAAATAATACATACTGTATAACCATAAGATTTCACATGTCATTAGAGGATTTTTACTATTTAGAACGCAATGGAAAAACACATAAAAGGCCTTTATATAACTAGGCCATATGTAAACTCTTCTGCAGTTTACATGCAAAACAATATCACGTGGTCATGAATTCTGTTATATCTAATAATAATATTAATAATAACATCGTTCAATATAGCTATATTATTTTATTATTATTGATTGATTAATCGATTGATTGATTCCAATTGAGAACAATTTTAAAGCATTAAAAAACCCCACCCACATGTTTACCTAACTTAGCTGTCTGAATGAGAAAACACCGTAGTCGTCTATTGTATTCATATAAAGCCTTAAAATATATTTATACAAAAACAATACCTCCAAACCCTACCCTACACACACGTGCGCGCACACGCACATTGTTTTCAAGCATTAATAATAATATAAATATTATGTACAATCTTTTTGACAATACTAATATTCAGTTACACTGACAGCAATACTTTGTTTCTGCTTTAATGATATACATAAAATAATCGTACCATAATAAAGCATTCTGTTTAAATGTAAATTAGCATACATATTCCAAATTCTGTTACTCTTATTGTCTTAGTAGTAATTATGCCTAAAACTATGAAAACATTTTCCTAACAATCATATAATATAAAAAAATATATATATTTAAATATCTCTTAAAGCACAAAACACCCACATTCACTACAAGAAAACATTTAGCATTTTTTAAAATAATAATAATAGTAGTAGTAATAATGATAGTAATAATAATATAAAATTTACTTAACAGTTTTACACAAAATGAGCTTTTCATGCAAATTACAATTTGTTATTAGCTGCATGATTAGAAACACACACCACACAAAAAAACTCCATGGCCATAAATTGAGATATAAATCTCATTATCTCATCTGTTGAGGTCTGCCGTTTCTGCTTTTACTGTGATTTCTGTAAAAAAAATAAAAAATAAAAAAAAAGAAGTCTTCACTGTGGCCTGTCTGTTAACAACCATATTTTGTCATGCATTATAACTCTCAGCCCACAGAGTCGCAGAAATGAGTCAGTGGTTGGAGCTTCAACAACTGGATTCAAAGTTTTTGGAACAGGTCGACCAACTGTATGATGACAGCTTTCCAATGGCCATCCGGCAGTACCTCAGCAGCTGGATAGAAAGCCATGACTGGTGCGTACGACCGATTGTGTACCTTTACAACCATGTCAAACACATAACCACAACCTCTTGCAAGTATAATAATGCTAAACTAGGCAACCTGTTGATTCTTAACAGTATTTTTTATAAAGTTCAAAATTGAATATTAATCAAAATTATTAATATATTATTACAATATGAAAATTGTAAGAAATATTTTTAAATGTGCATTAATATTTTAAGGGCAATCAGAATATTAATATTAACATATCAATTAAAATTGTAAAATGTAGACATTAAAATATGAATACTTTTTAAGGTGCATATCTTATAATTGATGTTATTAATATTTTAATTAAGTTTAATACTTTAATATTATATGAATCAAAAACTAATTAAAATGAGAATATTAATTAATACTTTTAATGTGCATACTTATTTTTAAATGTAATTAAAATATTAATATTAACAATAATATTATTTAAAAATTAAAATAATAATGAATACTTTTTAAGGTGCATAATATTAAATATTTTTAAATATTTTTAAAGGTTAATAAAGTTATTAATTCAGTTTATTAATATTATTTAATTAATTTTTATTTAATTAACTTTAACACTTTAATTAATATTACTAATGTTAATATGAATAAAAATATTGTAATTAAAATATGAAAAAATTAATTAATATTTTAAATGTGCAAAAATATGATTAAAGGTAATTACAATTTTAATATTAAAACATGAAAATATGAATAATTACTTTTTTAATGTGCATACATATTTTTAAAGGTAATCAAAATATTAATATTAATTATTATTATTTTAATTTAAATTTTTTTATTTTTACAGGTTAAGACATCTGCTCTTTACCAAAAAAGCAAAAAGTACAGTTTATTGTACATAAGGGCTTCATGTTGAGATCACATGATGTTAATAAACACAAACTTCAGATGAACTTACTTCAAAGTGTGAAATTTTCCAGAAAAATGGCAAATTGTTAGGTTCTGCACACGATAAACCTGCGGTAACATCATATAAACGGCATCATTGGTCGTCCAGACCTAGTGAGGGCAGCAGAGAGACAAATTCTGCAATATTAGTTGTTTAATAAGAGAAACAAGAATCAGTGCAACATAAACAATTAGTTAGTGCACTTTTAGATACTCCACTTTAAATATTCATTTTCTTATTAAATTTATCTTCCTGATAAAAGAGGGATTATATAGGCACAAATATAGGAATTATGTTAAAAATAGAATTCAATCCAGTTTCATCTTCATTTGGTGTGAATCATCTGTTCTTCGTTCTCTTAAAGGGACCATGTCGCTAATGTGGAGAATGAGTCTCTGGCCACCGTGAGGTTTCATGATCTTTTGACCCAGTTGGATCACCAACACAGCCGCTTCGCGATGGAGAAAGACTTCCTGAACCAGCACAACATCCGCAAGATCAAGAGGAACTTGCAGGTGCCTGTCTGCAACTGGCTACACAATCATTTCCTTTTAGCATTTGTGTCGCAGCCTCTAAATCATTAGGCAATAAATAGGTCAGAAAAAAACAAGTTGCAACATGCAAACGATTGAGTTTGTGAGTTAACACAACCCTTGTGTTTCAGAGCCTCTTCCAAGACAATCCTGTTTCCATGGCGATGATCATCAGTAGGAACCTTAGCGAGGAAAGGAAGATTCTGGCCGCTGCCCAAGTGTCAGAGGTCAGGAATTAATCAACGACAACCACTGATTTCCAACACCAAACTGTGAATTTAAATATCTTTATTTAAACCATTTTTTTAAGTTCGTTCCATGACTAAAGGAATAGGTCAAGCAAAAACAACTCATCGTCATGTTGTTCCAATTTCACACGACTTTCTTTAATCTGTAAAACACAAAAGGAGGTATTTCACAATATTGTCCAAGCTGCTCTTTTCCACATAATGACATTAGGTTAGTAATTAGTAATTTGTTGCAGAATCGAACTGAAAACACCCAAAACGATATGATCGTGGAGAAACATCGAGAAATGGATGGAAGGGTGAAAGAGATAAAGATGAAAGTACAGGTGATGTACACAAAAACTATCGCAACTATAAGATATGTCGAATTCTCATAGAAAAGTTGTGTAAAACATCTTTTTCAAATTTCCTATCAGGACACAGAGCAGATTATCAAAAATCTAGAAGACCAGCAAGACGAATACGACTTCAAGAGCAAAACTCATCAAAGCAGAGGTAATACGTTTACAAAAACTGCTTCTTTGTAGACGAAAAAAACGCTTTATCAAATGTGCGGTCACATTACTGAAATTTCTGCAAAAGTTTTTTATTGCTTATTTTGTTCACAAAAATTCGTTGAACAACCAGTATGACCGTATCTATGGGCAGAACTAGCTAATTATTCGAAAAGTATAGAAACTCAGTATTGTTTATTTTGCTCTCGAAAATGTGTCAAACATCGGTAAATTTGACTCACCTGAAGTCAGAACTAGCTATTTTTTCATCAAGTTCCGAAAATCAGTATTGCTTATTTCGCTCGTGAAAATTTGTTGAACAACAGTAAGTGTAACTGCATCTTAGGTCACAACTAGCTAATTATTCGAAAAGTATAGAAACCCAGTATTGCTTATTTTGCGAAAATTCGCCAAACTAGCTAATGTGACGCATCAAACTACGCCTTTGTCTCTGTTTATTTTGAATACGCGCCCTCTAGCGGCGAAAATTACATACTGCGCCTTTAAGTCAGAAGTAGCTACGTATATTTTAAGTACTGAAATTCAGCATTGCTTATTTCGTTCGTGAAAATTCGCCAAACAACAGTAAATATGACTGAACCTTTAGTCAGAACTAGCTATTATTTTCAATAAGTACCGAACCTCAATACTGCTTATTTCGCTTGTGAAAATTTGTTGAACAATGGTAAATGTCACCACACCTTAAGTCAGAGCTAGCTTTTCTTCGGCAAGTACCGAAACTTAGTATTACTTATTTCACTTGCAAAAATATGTCAAACAACAGAAAATGTGACGTACCTTAAATCAGAACTAGCTATTTTTTTCGACAAGTACTGAAACTCAATATTGCTTATTTCACTCACGAAAATTAGCTGAATGGCAGTAAATGTGACGCACCTTAAATCAGAACTAGCTTTTTTTTTTTTTAGGCGAATACCGAAACTTAGTCTTGCTTTCATCTATTCAACAGAGGAACTGAACGGGACCATTTCAAAGGAAGACTTGAACCGGGAGAGACTGACTATCCATGCCATGTTTATGAAACTCAATGACACAAGAATGGTGGGAACATTGGGGATCTATTGCCTTTTCCTGTTCTGTAATGCTAATTGGTTAGCGAAGAGCAGCGGTTACGTTCAACCTTGTTTGTGTCCTTGTAGAATGTGATCAGTCAGATGTCAGAGGTGTTGAACATTATGGATCCAGTGATCTTTGAGCTAATCTCAACAGAACTGGCTGAATGGAGGCGTCGTCAACAGATGGCTTGCATCGGTGGAGTAACCAATGCCTGCTTGGACCAGCTGCAGAACTGGTAACAAACCACAAATTAATTCATGATTTCCTTCTAACCATACGTTTTTGGAGTAGTAATAATAATACTAGGAATACATTTAAATTTTTTTGCTGCTGTAAAATAGCCCAAGATTCTCTCAAAAATAAAGCAGATCGGTCATATTTACAAGATGTCGTGACAACCAATTTTAATAGTTTCAAGATCTTCAAATAATATCAAAACAAATTGGTATTGCTCATAATTACGTCTTAATTGTGAATTTTGACACAAAATTTTTATTTTTATTAATTTTTTTGTACTGATGATTGCGAATACCAATAATGGTTCGCATATTTTTTTTGCGAGCAAAATCTAGTAATTTCAATAGAAATCCAATCTGGAATTTTTCGAAAGATTTCACTTTATAGATTTCACATGGGTTCAAGTAAGTCATGTAGATTCGCGCTGACCAACAGAAAGCTGCTTTGTTTGATTTTTATAGACCTTTTTTGCTAGCAAAATTTTTGGAAATATTGGCAATAGTTATAATTTTGCTTCACTGCTGACATTGGGCCTTTTTTGTTCGCAAAATTTTGTAAATATTTTGACTATTTAAATATTAATCATTTTGCTAGTGACAGTAGACAATGGACTTTTTTTTTGCGAACAAAATTTTAGACCTTTTCTGCATGTGAAATTTCACAGAAATATTGACGACATTAAATATATTGACAGTATATAAATATAGATGACTTCACTACACTAATGACAATAGACAATGGATTGCTTTTTTTCACACAGTGTTTTATAGACCTTTTCTGTTTTCGAAATTTCACCTAAATATCAACAATATTAATATATTTACAATAAGAAAATCGTGACAATTTCGCTACACTATTGACTTTTTTGCTCACAAAATTTTGAGGAAATATTGGCAATATTAAATACATTGGCAGTATATAATTACTGATCATTTTTAAAACAATATTGAGAGTGGACATTTTTGTTCACAAAATTGTATAGACCTTTTCTGCTTGCAAAACTACACAGAAATATTCACAATAATAAATATTTTGACAGTACATAAATATTGATATTTTTGCTAAATCACGCTTTTAGGCTCTACAAAATCACGTTTAAATCATATATTATTGAGTTTTGTTTGTTTTTGCCCTCAGGTTTACTTCTCTAGGGGAATCTCTTCTTCAGCTCAGGCAGCAGCTCAAGAAACTTCTGGAGCTGGAGCAGAAATTCACATACGACAAGGATCCCATCACCCTCAGCAAAAGCACTCTGGAGGACAGGATCATGTTAAACCTTAAAGCTCTCATCACAAAGTAAGAATCCTACTTTGCTTGATACACCACTGCTGAAAGGAGTCGCTGACAGTGAATCATTTTTGTTTGTGTGTGTTTTCAGCTCCTTGGTAGTCGAGCGACAGCCATGCATGCCGACCCAACTGCAAAGACCTTTGGTGCTCAAGACGGGCGTTCTGTTCACCCTCAAATTACGGTAACACAGCCGATGATTCGCATTTCTCTGGAATGAAAGGCCGGATAATGTTCAGTTGATGAATGATGAATCACATTATTCCTCTGCTCCAGGCTGCTCATAAAACTTCAGGAATTTAACCACACTGTTCGGGTGAAGGTGCAATTCGACAAGTAAGTGTTGTACATACTCTGACTCAACCGTAATTCATAGAGGTATTTTTTTGTCTGCAAGCAGTTTATACTTGCATTGCTAATGATTCACTCGCGCGGTTAGCATTTTTAACTTAGCATACATTCAGAAAAAACACTGAAGATGCATTTCATTGTGTTAACGTGTCTCTTTTCACCTTTCAGGGATATCGTTGAGAAACGGAAAGGGTGTGTCCTACATAATTTCCTTATTTGCATACCATTTTAAAGGGACAGTTACTCTAAAAATGAAAATCTGTTATCATTAGCCTGTTTCTTTGTTTGTTTGTTTTTTTGTGGAACATAAAAGGAGATATTTTAAAAGTGAATAACAATAACATCTGTAAAAAAAATTGTCAAGGTTTTGAGTGCGAGTAAATAATGACAAGAGTTTTTATTTTTGCTGAGCGTGTGGCGGTGCCGGCGCTGACCCAGATCCGGCGTAATGACGTTAGCTTCATAACTTTACAGTTGAACACTGATGTCACACGGACTACTTTGTCGATCATCTTGGTACTTTTCTGGACCTTGAACGTGGTAGTTACCTTGCTGTCTATGGGAGGGTCAGAGAGCCCTCATATTTCATCAAAAATATCTTAAATTGTGTTCCGAAGATGAACGAAGGTCTTACGGGTTTGGAACAACACAAGGGTGAGTAATTAATGACAGAATTTTCATTTTTGGGTGAACTAACCCTTTAAACTCCGTTTGAATTCCACTTTAATTAATAGAATTCCACTTACTTAGTAATGCTCCTGTTCTAGGTTTCGCATGTTCAACATCTTGGGAACGGCCATGAAGGTGATGAACATGGAGGAGTCCAATGGGATGGCAGCAGAATTCCGTCATCTGGTAAAGTGAAAAGAAAAAATAGCAAATTACAGTGTAGCTCCAATTTAAAAGCATAATTTAGTCAAGGAAATAATAGTGACAGTATTCTTTTTACTTCACAGCAACTGAAAGAGAAGAAAGTTACCGGAAACAGAACAAGTGAGGTGAGTTCAAGATGTTTTTCAAAGTCTCTTCTGCTCATATCAAGGCTGCATTTATTTGATCAAAAATACAGTAAAAACTCTAATATTATTACAATTTAAAATAACTCTTTTCTATTCTACTATATTTTTGAAATGTTATTTATTCCTGTGATGCAGAGCTGAATTTTCAGCATCATTACTCCAGTCCTCAGTGTCACATGATCCTTCAGAAATCATTCTAATATGCTGATTTATTATCAATGTTGGAAACGATGATATGTTTTTTTTTCCAGCATTTATTTGAAATCGAAATCTTTTATAACATTATAAATGTCTTTACTGTCACTTTTGGTCAATGTAACGCATCCTTGCTGAATAAAAGTATTTCTTTACAAAAAAAAAAAAAAACTTTACTGAGCCCAAACTTTTGATTGGTAGTGTACTTTTTAAGATTGTTAAAAAAGGAATAATCTGTCATCATTTACTCACCCTCATGTCGCCTCCAAATCTGCATGACTATCTTTCTTATGTGGAACACAAAAAAGCTCCAAAAACCACTTAAATGTTTCAAGAAAGTAGTCCATAACTCTTGTGTCCAGGTTTCCTAGTCTTCTGAAGTCGAATTAATTTGTGTAAGAAACGAGCAGAAATTCTGTTTCCTCTGCTGTAGCTCTTCTCATTTGAACGTCTGCCTATTCAAGCTTCAGACTTGGTAGAACAACACCTCAAACTGCCATTTTGGGCTAAATTCTTTCTTAAACGTTCGGCAGGGCCCTCTGATCGTCACAGAGGAACTTCACTCCATCACCTTTGAGGCTGAGCTGTGCTGGTCTGGAATGGTCATGAACTTTGAGGTCAGAAGATCCTTCAGAACAACCGAGTTGAAAACATAAACGGCTCCAAATCATGATCATCATCAACTTTCTTCTCTCTCTCCATCTTCAGGCCACGTCTCTGCCCATAGTCGTGATCTCCAACGTCAATCAGCTACCCAGTGGATGGGCCTCCATCATGTGGTACAACATGCTGACCTCTGAGCCAAAGGTACGTCCTCTTCAAAACTCATGTTACGCACATAACAAAATGCCTGAAAATTGCACTCAAATTGAACTAAAAATACATGTTAGATAAGAAACATAAAAAGGTTTAAGCACTAAATTTACTAACTGGAAATAAAGTAAAACTGAACAAAAATTTAAACTGAATAAATTAATGAATGAATAAATAATTTAGTTTAAACCTAAATAGAAATGTTTTAAAAACAACACGATTTTAAAGTAAAGCACTAAAATTAATAACTGGGGATAAAAACCTGAACTAAAACAAAAATAAATTAAACCTAAATAGTCATATTTAAAAAGAACTAAATAAATAAAAATGACAAAAGCACACAAATTACTAAAAATTTTACTGAAATGAAAAATGAAAATACAAATATTAGATGAAAAACTTAAACTAAACAAAAAACTAGAAGTGTTGCTTTGGCAAATAACTGAAATAAGTTTAAGTTGAAACACTAAAATGACTAACTGTAAATAAATAAATACCTAAAACTGCAATCAAAATAAATGAAATCTAAACTAGAAATATTTTAAAAAGAACAAAACCTAATAAAGATGACAAAAGCCCCTAACAAAATGACTACAAATGGAACTAAAACTAAAAAGAAAACTGAAAATATAAAAATAAAAGTGACGTTCAAAAGCAAGTCCTCTTCAACTCTAATGTTTCAGTAATAGGTATGAGCTCTACATGCATCACAAAATAGATTCCTGGAGGTGCTTCCACAGGTTCTGACTTGCCTTGAACTTCTCTTTTCTTTGACCGTCTCTTCTGCAGAACCTTTCTTTCTTCGTGACTCCTCCTTCAGCCACGTGGGGGCATCTAGCGGAGGTGCTGAGCTTGCAGTTCTCCTCCATCACCAAAAGGGGGCTTAATCAAGAACAGTTAAGCATGCTGGGTACTAAACTCCTGGGTGAGTGCGATACACGTACTTGACATTGCGTGCAACGGATTCTCTTGGAACAGATGAACTAAATGCACAAGTGTGTGAACTTTGGCCCACAGGTCCTAAAGCGGCGATGGATCCTGAAGCTCAGATTCCTTGGAACAGATTCTGCAAGGTTGGTCTATACGAGATTTTTTTTACTGATCAGTTTATCCATTTTTGTATTGCGCACCATTGTTCCGTTCCCACTGTTTGTTTAGAAGTGATTTGATTTGAGACTTGTGTTTGATGTAGTCTGGCAGTGAGAAGAACTTCAGCTTCTGGCTGTGGATTGAAGGAATTCTGGACCTTATAAAGAGACACCTGCTGAGTCTGTGGGACGATGGGTAAGAAACCAGATGTTTGAATGATAAAAATCCAGCTAGAATCAACATCTTACATAGTTCTAGCTGGTCTAGATGGTTGGTCACTTGGACCATCTTGGTCTGTCTTACCATTTTGGACAGCTACCCTATTTCACATGCCAGGGTTATTGTCGTCAACTAAAACTATTAAAAACATTTTTTTGTAAGTTTAATAAGTTTAAGCTAAAGCTGTAAAATTAATGATGCACACCGAGTTTCATAACGATATGTCAATGCGTTCGTAAATTATAGCATTTTATGACAAAATTCTAAATGGCCGATGCCCAAAATGGCTGACATGGGAAAATTGGGTATGGTTCAAATCGGCATAACCCACCGAATCTAAAGAGACCAGTTTTGTGATTTTTGGTAAAACCATTCAGAAGTTACAAACAAAAATAGCCATTTTTCATATCTCCTGACCACTAGGTGGCACTGCGCCGAAACACTGCATGTAGCCTCAGGTCATGCTTGTTATAACACATAGTTAACACATATAACCAAGTTTGGTCTCAATTAGGGATGGGCGATACCCCTTATTTTGTTTTCGATACGATACCGATATTTTTCAAGGCAGTATCGTCGATATCGATACCGATTCGATACTTCTGCACTAAACTTTTAAATTATGAAATTTATTAAATTATTAAATTACTAAGAGTAAAATGGGTAATTAAAACCACTTAACTTTGTTTAAAACGCATTTTAACCCGTTTAATCCCAAATTTTTCCCAGACATGAAAATATCCAAATGATGTGTCATTAGTAACCCTTTGAAATAATCAATAATTTTTTTTTTTTTTTTGGAAAAGTGTGTGAAAATTTTTATTTTATGGTCAGTCACAATTGTAACCGGTGGGATAATGTGTATACTGAATTAACATATTTCTGCAGTCTTAAAAATTGTTATATATCTTAGCCCAGCTATTTTAAACTGTTTGATCACATTCTAGGGTTACTATTATGCATAAAAAACCCTTATACAACATTGATAGGAATACTGAGATCAAATACAAAAAAAATACAACCATCAACGTATTTCAAAATTGTTACTTTTTTGTAACATATATCATCACATTTTTATATTAGTGCTACCAGTATTACAACATTAATATTCTAACTTATTTGTAACATTTTAACTTTTGATTTAGTGCAATATTTTGTACTGCCATTAGGGACTGCCAGTGAATGGCTGTTGCATGCATAAAATGCAACTTTTACATGATCAATATTATCTTTCAACGTTCAATTTAAATAATTGTAATTGCACAAACTACAATTTCTACAATTTCAATTTGTTTATTGTGAAATAACTCAAACATTTATGTTTTTTTTTCTGTCCTCTGATAAGCATTGTTCAGGGCTGCCATTCCCAAAAGCTTTAATGCTTTCTTATGATACTTTTGGGAAACGCAGCCCTGTTTGAATGCACTGTCAGCAGTGAGTGAATGCTCTCTGTGATTGATTAGTTCTGTCTTGCAACATTTGCGTGTGTTCAGATGAGCAGGAAAATAGTTCTATCCTACACAATTACTCGCTAACAAAGGTTATTCGTCCAATTCAATGCATATTGTACGCATTATTATTATTATTATTTTTGTTAAACAAAACCACTGGTAAATAAAACGCACCTTAGTATCGATATTTTTTGTTTGAGTATCGATACTTTCGATACTCGCGTCAGTATCGATATATCGATACTTCGGATCGATACGCCGATCCCTAGTCTCAATACGCCAAACCATTACGGAGATATAGCCTCACATCCATTTTTGCATGCTTTTCGTCAAATTCGTTTGCGCGTTATTCGAGAACGGTTTGACGAATCAACTTGAATTCCATAACTTTTTGCCAGCATGGTCTGAAGATGATCTGAGACAATTTTGGTGAAAATCGGACGAATCGTCTAGGACGAGTTTGAAAGAGAAAAATCGAATATAGCGAAAAAACTAAACCTTACGATTTTTACATTTTGGAGTTCATTCGACTCGGCATGCGCCAAGAATTCAGAGGAAAAAAGACGTTTCCTTCTGTGCCTTACGCTTCAAAAGTTATTAGCATAAACATGAGTGAAAGTTTGGACAAGTGGTGGCGCTAGAGAGTTTGAGTTAGAGACTCCAGATTTGCTGTGGTTAATGTTGAGACTGTCCTCTATCAATGTGCCAAATTTCACAACTTTCCCGCAAGCGGTTCTATGGGCTGCCATAGACTTTCGGCGGAAGAAGAAAAATGACGCTAACGGATACAATAGGTGCCACTGCACCTTTGGTGCTTGGCCCCTAATGATGTTCGGATTTTAAATGACAACTTGACTGACAACAGTTTAATAGCATATTGAAATATATGTAAATGTTCAAATAAAGCTTTGAAAAAGTTTCATAAAAAGGTAAACCTCACATTTCAGCCTTTAAATAAAGAAAAGAGTTAAGTCAAAATGATAATTGATTAATAAATTATTATATGTATTTTATCTGCTCCATAAATAATTCTAGATAACTTATCTGAATTGTT